ATTACTAATATCTTATATAATTTTAAATTTAAATATATTCAATCTTTAAATTTAATTCAAATTTAACAAAAAAAAATTAACTTATATATCAATTCTTAATTTTAATATAAATTATTATTAATTTATATTATACATTTATATATAATTTGCACTTATAAATTATAGATTAAATTCATATTATTATTTTACATTATAAATTCTTGAGGTTAGATTAGATCATTTATTATAAATAAATAATTAATTAATTTTTATAGTACATAACAAATAAATGAAGAATGTAATTTATTTAATATTATTAATTACAAATAAATATTATTTACATCATAAAAAATATATTTTAAAATGGATAGTGTATGTTGTAAACTTAAAAATTAGGAAGAAAGAAATAGGAGTTTTAGTTTTTTTTAGTCCTACATCACTTGGGAGACTTTATCTTGTTAATGCTTTTACTTTATATTGGCTTTTGAGCTTGAAAGTAGTACTTCATGTAAAGTGATAAAACTTTGTGAAATGCTTGGTTGTAAATTTTTAATTATAAAATTGAGCATTTCAATTTTAAAATTAAATTATAAATATTATTTAATATTTTAAAATAATTTTTTTAAATATTAAATAAATGCAAAAGTTGAAATGGCCGGTTCAAGATAATTGTGACCGGTTCAACGGTTTCCGATTGAATCGGTGGTTTTGGTCGGTTTGTTGTAGAAGCGGTTCTTAGCATGAACCGGACCGGCTATAAGACTTGTTCACAATTGAACAGGTTGGACCGGCCGGTCCGATCTGGTTTTTAAAACATTGGATTTAACACAATTTTTTTTTTTCCTGAATAGATTTGCCACATACTATTTCAATTTAAGTTTATTGAATCTTAAAGCTAGAAAATCAGCGGATACCAATTGTTTTAAGAAGAATAAATATTTCATGCTCGCAAGAAAATAAACGGAGTAATAAGAAGGATTGCTGATGTTGAATCTATTACGTGCAAGAACTTGAATAATTGGAAAATAGTAGTATTGATGTTGAATGAAAAAGTAAAATATTACTTGTAAATGTGAATTGAGTTAGTGATATGCTACTTGGTTTAAATTAATTGTTGGGGAGTTGAGCACTAATTTGGTTAGTGTTTTTCCTCTCTAATTTTTATAATGGGAACTTTTAAGAAATGATTGGTAATTAAATAATTGCATAATTGGTGGTAACAATTACATCATATTCAACTCGAAGTGAGGATAAGTTCTAATCAAAATGTACGTAAGGGTACAAGGAGAATTGGTTAGAAGAGAATTTATGGTGGCCAAGAGGTAGGAGGTAGATATTTACTGGAGATGTTATACTTAATTTCACAAAAACAGAACATCTAGCAAAAGTAAAATCTTTTTTAGGTTAATGAAACTTGTTATAAGAAAAGAGTATTTAATTACTTTTAAAAGTCAATATACTAGAAGAAAAATATGCTTTATGTTTCTAAGGAGAAAACTATAATTTACTTGTTAAGATGTTAATATTTTTGTAATTATGCTGATTGTAGAAGAAAGCATAACAATGCATAATACACAAACATACTCACATATATTTCTTATATATACTATAGAGAACACTAGAAGGAATGAATTTTTCTTATTCTACACAACGTTTAAAAAGGCAAATCGAGAATCGAGGCATTTTGCCTCAGCGAGGCGAGGTGTAAGCCTCGAGGTAGATTGAGACGTAAGCCTCAAAACAGAAAAATAAAAAAACACATGAAGTTACAAAAAAATAATAAAAATGGAAAAAAATAAAATAAAACATGAATATATTTATTTGATTAATCATTATGAAGTTATAAATTACAAATCTCAATATTAAATGTTGTTATAAAATAAAAATTATAAGATTCAAAGTAAAAACTAATTTAAAAGTTAAATATACCATAAAGATTAGAATCTACAGTTGCCTCATTCTGACTTTCTTATTATTTATAGTAACTCTCATATGCAATAATTATATCATCCTCGAATTCTGACTCATTGTCATCTTATAAACATTCTTCAATTATAAAATTTTTAACTCCCCATATTAATTAAAATTGGATTTAATGTAATATAAAATAAATCAACATATTAATAACACAACAAATTACTCCATTATATTTAAATCCCCATTTGATTTTTTTTTTGTAAAGTTTGAACTCCTTTTTGGTACTTTCTTTAAATTGCTTGTGAAGTAGAAGTTATTATCAATTTAGTAATCATTTTAATATTAGTATTGATATTTTCATTCTTCTCATCATCAAATGCATTCCTTCATTTTCAATTTTAAATATTTTATTATTTTTTTTTCTATTATTCATTTATCATTAGAAAATATATCAGTAAAAATTAAATGATTTCATTATCACCAGTTATTCTCCTCTATAATTCGAAGTGTTTATCTTTCAAATTTTTATTAAACATAACACAATCATTCAACCTTATTCATTTGTCTTATTGCTAATTGGTTCATTCTCTTTGTATATTATAAAGTATATATAATAATAATAATATATAATAAAAATTATAAAACTTAACTATAATGAGGCACTGCCTCGGAATGTCTCGAGGCGTGCGCCTCATTTAAAAAAGCGTAAGCATCACTGGCACTAGTTAGGCTTAAGCCTCAAAGCGTTCTTCAAGGCATGCGCCTCGAATAATTCTATTACTAATTCTGTTAGTTTTACGTCATTATCCTTCGAATCCTTATATATAATGCACCTACACCATTTCTAGTACGGCTCCTACCATAATACCATAGTTTAAATCCTAAATTATCAATCTCCTTAGCCTTCTCTCCACCCCATTTAGTTTCCTAAATGTATAAAATATTTATCTTCCTATGAATCATAATATGTATTAATTATATTAATTTATCTGTAAGGGAACCTATATTCCAACATCCTATCTTGATTTTAGTTTTACGGATTAGCTTCTTTGCTCATATCCATCTATGATGTTGGAACCATTGCCTATTTAACATTGCACCCGGATGCCGGGACAACTGCCCTTGCACACTTCTCCATGTATTCAAGCCATACAGCATATCACTTCTAGGGAATGCTGCATTAACACTATGTATTATAGTATTTATGTCATAATTATTTGTCAAATTTTACAGTTGGCAATGACAATATTATATAGGCAACTAATAAAACTTTGTAACATATTATGGTGATCAAAAGGTTACTAAAGAAAAGAAAAGTTTCTTTATAGAATGATCAGAAATGTCAGGACAAGGACAAGCAACCGTGCATGCCAACTAAAGCTTAGGCTGCAACCTATGTTGATTTATGTAATAAGATTGCTCTATGTTAAGGAGAAAAGTGAGATGGATGTCTGAAAACCGAAATATTCTAGGCAAATCAAAGGTTATTAAAGGAGTTGGATCATGTTCAATGTATAAAAAATTAGACAATTGTATTTTGTTTAAAGAAGTTATTTTAAGAGGTTATTGAACAAGTATATTTCTATAGAACTAAAACACCAGGAGACTTTTCAAGTATGTTACAGATTATTCAAAAAAGAAAACTTGAGTTATATTTGAAGAATAATGTTATTTTGGATCAGATGGATACCTGGTTTTTAAAGAGTGGTGGAAGATATTGATTAGAATGGATGACATTTTTCAATGATCTTTCAAATTAAGGGCTGTTAAATTTTCAAGTAAAGTAATGTTTGGTTATCAAGCTTGTGAGTGTGCAATCAAGTTACGGTAGAGGATGACGAGACATAGTCATAAGATGTCATAAATTTGTCATATCTTGAATGATTATTGATGAAAATTATTTTTTGTTTTAAGGCAGAATAGTATGAAAGGAGAGAGATAAGTTCTTCATATGATTTTCATTAACTATCAATGGAAGTTGATTGAAGATCACATTAAATTAATGTATACCATGGAGAGAAACGAGAAAATTTCAAAATGGTCCTTAAATTATATATATGGGCCATTTTAGTCTCATTCTATTATCTTCCATTTTTTTCATTGATTCATCTAATATGATCCAATATGGTCCCTTTGTTGGATTTTTTTTATCAAAGAGAATATATTTTGTTGAAAATATATTGAAGCTATTATGAGTATGATTGGTAACTTAAGTATATATATATTTTCTATTAGTAGATGTCATAAGATTGAAAGCCCAGATTACTTTGAAGTGAATAGAATGTTAGGAAAATGGTGATAACGTTTAGAGAATAAAAGGCTTAGGATCAGAATGTGGAATAAGTTTATGATATGCAAATTTCTTGATGCTGAATTAAATGTGATAGATCAATAATTATATAGATTAAGTGGTAAAATTTAGTTTTCATATGGATAAAGATCTGGGTAACTATTGTCATTCGTTAGGTCAATTCCAAGAAAATTACGGAGTTAATTAAAATTTACCTGATGAAATGATATACTTCCAGATATGCTCTCTGTCTAATTGGATCTACCTTCAGTTTTTTCTTAGCCCTATGCTTTCTATTTTATAAATGTGTGTCAGGGTTCTAGCTGCTGCTGCCCAGCGACAAGGCCAAGATACTGAAGGTAAGTATTTTTAGTTGAACTGATATATTTTTTTTGTTTTGTTTTTGCGTGACTTCATTTGTTCATAATCTTTGCTGATTCAGATGATAAGTCTGTAAAGTCTGTAACATCACTTGACATTGCAAAAAGGGACCGGATAATACCTGACATCTGTGTCATCTGCCTTGAGCAAGAATATAATGCTGTTTTTGTTCCGTAAGTATCTTTCTATTAAACTTTGTACTTGCGGTCAGTTAGTAACTAATGGTTGGGTTTTGTTTTCTTCAAAACTTAATGTGGACATTTGATAAGTGATACTAGTTCATAATTTCCCGTGGTTGTGGTATAGCTATATGATTGAATGAGATCATGTTTTCTTTCAGGTATTGAATAGAATTCCTACTATCTTTCATTATATAGAATTGTGAGTTTATTAGCTGTATTATGTAATTCCCTCTCTCTTGATTGTTGGTATTATTCCTATCTTTTTTCTCACATTAAGTTGAAAGTTCTTTACTCAGAAGGTGACAGCATTTTGTCGATATTGTACTGTTTAGTTCTTTTTTTGTGTCTAAGTAGCTATAACAACCACAATGAATCTAGGACTTTATCATCATTATCACGTAGCTGAAAGCAAGGATTATGATGCGTACTCCAACGATGCTGTTTGTCAATTTGATAATTTTATATGAAATTGTAAAACACACAGGTTTGATTAATAGGGTAAATGAGAAAAACTACAGGTAAATGTTACAATGCTTTGTTCAAGTGGACGATTATTGATGGCTATTTATTTATTTTACTTTAATTAGGAAAAGTGTCCCGAATAACTGTCTTACTATTCGAGTATTGATTGGTGCTTTGAAAACTAAAATATTCCTTTTTGTCTTAAAGTTAATTGACATATAATGCAAGGTTTTAAATTTAGATGTTAGATTTATTTAGATTTGTTGAGTTATGAGGGATATTAGTGATTTATTTAATAAAGCTTTTTAATATAATTTTGAAGACCAATAGGATACCATATAATCAGGAAAAAAAATATTTTGGTACTAATATCTAACATTGAAGGTGATATATAAGAATGTGTTAACTATACAGTTTTCAAACTTATGTGTCATGCAATAAAACTATTGGATAAAACATAGGCATAGAAATATTATGTCAATTTTGAAATACCAATTTAGGTTCATGCCAGAAAGATTGATTATTGAAGCTATTTTTGTGTTTAGATAATTAATGGAAAAATATAAAGAGCATAGCTTTATTCATAATAGCCTCAAAATAAATAAAGCAATTACATAAATCTTTCTTTCAATTTGGAAATGGAAATGAAATAATGAAATTTCAAATAATTATAGTTACCCACTTTATTTTCCTCTTGCAATATTTGTCCAGTTTTGAAAACCTTTAACTATTCACAAGAATATAATTATTTAATTAGTAGTTAATATCAATTAAATATATCAAAAAACATTTGATTTCTTCTACAAAACTTACCTTACAAGATTTCCTTTTGTTTCTCACAAATCTTCCTTCCTCCACCGTTAACCAAGGTCTATATCACTTGGATTCTTCCAACCTAATTTAGAATATATTTCTCATTATTTATCAATAAAGAAACGAGAAATGAAAAATACCCTTAAACTGACCACTGTGGGCTTCGAAAATTCGGCCCCGGCCTCCGCTCGCCGCGCTTTTCTTTTTTATTCCGGCGAGGGAGTTTTAACTGATAGGTTCCGGGGTAAATTTTGGAAGGCAGATGGGTTTGTAGATAAGACACTACCCAGAGATTTCACCCTCATTTTGTGAGGACTTTATGATCTGAGTTCTGGTTTCCTATAGGCGCAAGCCCCTATAGTTAATTACCCCTCCCGATCACAAGAGAGAACTTTCGATTAAGGCTAGTCGTCAATCAGATACGTATAGAATACGTGTTATCTGGCATATAGTAGCAGCATGGGTTTGGGTATGGAAATTTGAAAATGATTAAGAATTTGGGAATTTTGGAAAGTAGTTGGGAATTTGAAGATTTTATATTTAAAGTAGAAATTTCACCATCATGCACTTAAAGCTGATGGTGGGGGAATGGATGATGGACCCGATCAAGATCCCATGGTTCCGTCATCCCGGGCCATCGTGGTCCTGGTCTACTTAGTCAGAGGAGGTAGTCGACCCAACCTGACAGAAGGATCCTTGTCGGCAGCCATGGGTTGCTTCGTCCAAGGGGACCTTGTAGACCGGGGTTGAATGTTTGTCTAAGGGGACAAATTTGAATCCACCTTAGCTAACAGAGGGCTTTGTGCCCTATCGATCATATCCTATTGATTCATATCTCAAGGATTTAACGCCATTAAGGAGCGTATTGGCTCTGGCAATAACCGCTATCTGTGGTGCTATTTGGCGGCAAAATCACTCGGTTCAGAGGGCCCCGGGTCATAACCGTTTACCTGCAGTGCCATTTGGCGGCGAAACTGCCGGTTAGAGGACACGTACCACGCCCTTACTGGCAAGAGATTGTTTGAGAATGGATCCTAGTGATATTTTCGACTAGGCATTTGGCTCTTTGTGAGCTAGAGTTTATTTAAATTTGTCCACCCCGACAGACTGTTGCGGAGGGTGGATGGGCTTTGCTTTAAGTGATTGATGGTTTGATTTCATTTTTTAAATATATGGAATTTGAGCTTTTTGTGGAGCCTTGGATTTTGTAGATTTTTGGATTTTTGTGGATATTTGGATGGAGCTTTGGAATATTTGGGATTTTTGGAATTTTGGGTGGAGCTTTGGAAGGCATTTGGAATGGACTTTTGGGAGACAATTGAAAATATTTAGGAACCCCTCCGGTTGAGATCTG